GCAGCTACTTCTGCACAGCAGCTGCATGGCTAAAGGCTTCAGTAATGTCTACATTGATTGGTGCTCGGTGCTTAGGCATCAATTACATGGCTGTCTGGAAGCGAGGGACTCACAGGTGATTGTGTAAATCAGCGCGGGAATCATCTTGAACTGTGTAGTGTCTGCATCAGCAGTGTCAGCACAGTGACTTTTCACCATAAGATAAAGCCTTCCTCATGACTGAAGTTTTTAATCAAACTTCACTCAGGCAGTTTTTGGTTTTCTGCGATTATTTTCAGCTGAGGAACAAAGCACAGTTGGTGCACTACTGCAGAGGCGTTTCCGGGACTTTTTAAGCGAGTAACTCAATGAGGAGGAGCCCGATGGAAATGGGAATATTTGATCAAAACAGATACAGTGCAGACAGCTGGTGTAGAAAACATTAGGTATGATTTTGGGTTTTATGTGCAGCTCGTGGCCTCATACAGATGTATTATAGGAAAAGCTGCACTGCCCAGAGAGTTTAAAGATCACTTTGTGTTAGTAACTATTTTATAAAGTGCATAAGAAGTATTTAAAAATTTCACGTAAAGTAAAAGACATATTCTTAAAGCAACAGCACTTTTTATTACATACGTGATCATAACGATTATTTCATTCATGTGTTTATAACTTTAATGTTGCTTTTAGATGACTAACAATAAAGGATCATATTTCAGTGGATTTATTTTAAAATGTGCAAAGTAGGAAGTAAATAATTAAATAAAAGTAAATAAATATAATTTTAATAACTAGTTTTAATAACTAGTATTGCTTCTTCTGGGTTGGGGGAGAGTATTTGCCTCGAGCTAGGGTATTCAAATATCTGAGGGTCGCGTTTACGAGTGAGGAAGGTGGATTGGCATTCACAGTAGCACAATACTCCAAGTTTAATGATTGGATGTGGGTAGTTATTGAAAGAATAAGACTGCAGATCCAGCCACAGACAAGAGCTACCTGCAAGGAAGGGTGAGGAACTCAGATATCTGGAGGGGTTTCTGGACCTTTGTGTCAAAAAGTTGGCATCTCAACCAGTATGTCTCCTAGATGTAGCTCTCAGGAAGTTTTTCAAACATGCACACCTAGGAGGAAACTCAGGGATAGACCCAGAAATCTACCTATGAACACCTCAGGATCCTCCAGGAGGAACTGGAGCACGGTGCTTAGCCTTCTACCACCACAACCAGATAAACAGAAAAATGATGGATGGGTGGATGGATGGATTGAACATGGATCGAGTAAAAGTAGAAGTCAGCAGTATAGGATGAATAAGTAGTTGAGAAAACAGACAAATGGACATTGAAAGTGTTCTGTGGTAAAGTACTTCAATTAAAGCATTAAGTTACATTCCACCACTTTTCTTTTCCATGTTTTCAATCAATGACATTAGGCAATTTAAGATTAACATGACTCTACTCCAATGCATCCCCTCTGGAAACGCCCCCGCCGATGAATATTTCAGCAACAGTGTAGTTTGGGCTTGAGCTGGCAAAGTCACAAAACCTGCATCTATAGAGTCAAATACAAGTCAAAGTGTATTAGGTCATTTTAAAATCCTCTTCCTGTAGAAGTTGCACTTCTACAACTACCTTTGCTGCTGAAGAATTTTCTGTAGATTGTGATTCAAGGTTCAGGAGAGCTGTGGCTTCTGCCTGTACAAGTTTTCCAGATATGCAGTAGATCAAGCTACGTCATGCTGACATTAAAGCAACTGTTGGTTCCTTGTTGGTTTTAAAGGATAGATTCTGGCAAAATGTATCATAAACTTTATGTTTGTCAACTGACGCTCCTTGTTGTTTTACAGGTTGGCAATCTGGTAAGCGATTAATTTTTGAGGCAGAATCATAGTCCATGTGCTCACATGATCACAATATTATTTGAGAGCGTAGTCTTCCAGACAAAAAGCCTGCCTGAAGTCCGAAGACACAGCTCCCAAGCACATCACGTTTTTACTCTGAAAGTTCTGCCTGTTTATGTGTGAAAACTCAAAATGTGCAGGCTCTCCAGCAACTAATTGTGCCACATCCAATCATGCTTTTGTGCATTTATCTAAGCGTGGGCATTTTCAGACAGCAAAGACATTCATTTTTTAATTGTTTATTTTTTTAGTCATGTGATAGAGCACACCTACATTTGAGTGACAGAATTATTGTTGATTATGTCCCTGGAAAACTTGTGTCCTGGTTCAGTTATTTGTTACTACAGACTCAGTGCCACTTAGTTGACCCATCCAGCGGTTTAATACTGTGGCTAATCTGAGTCTGCCAAATTAAGGTCGTCCATGACACAAGATCATCAGATCAACCAGCAGTAAATCAAAGTTCCTGCATTTCTTTTCCTTTTTGGAATGATTGCCTTTGTTTAAAAGCAGTCTAGTTGTTGCAGCTGTGAACCGAGGTCACTGCAGAATACATGAAAAACAGATTTGCTGGTGTGTAATTTAAAAGTTTCAACAATTTCCAGTGATTGCTGAAGAGACCACAATATATGTAGGTATGTTAGTCCAGTGTTTCCCAGGTGACAGATTTATATAGGCACACGGGCTTAAAATAATCATGAAAGTCTGAATTTGCACAAATATTTTCTATACTTTGTGACATATCTTAGTGTACAATACAGGAAGTCTCTGTCTGTCTACTTGCTTTTCTTTCTACACCAACTCCTACAATATCAAAGGCTGAACAACCCAAAATGGCAAACAGACACATTTTAGACTCATTAAGGTTCTTATCTATATCAGATATTATGACATTGTGATGTTGCCTAGCAACCACAAATCAACAGAGTCAAATGACCCATATTTAGAAAGAATTAACGTATAATATCTTAAAAATATATCATTTTTATTTCACTTCTAATGTACATCTCCAAAACTTACACTATATGACAACACCCTCAGGTTGCTTAGCAACCACCTAGCAATATATATGACCTGTTTTTTTTTGCCGCATGCACCTACAACACCTTATGAAAGCAACCTGTCCTTTTAATTCCATAGCGAAGATATTTTCTTTATGTCCAGAAACCTGAATTATACATAACATATTATAATGTCACCAAGTTGCCTAGCAACCACCTGGCAATGGGCAATGCCCATTTATGCAACTACAGCACCTTTTAAAAGCATTATATCATTTTCATTTCTGATCCAACAGCACAATCAGCTGGACAATATTGAGGATCTCTCCAGTAGATTCAGAGGGAGGTTAAGTTTAGCAAACTGATTGCGGGTGGCATCTTTGTCTCTGATCGATAGAATATAATGCTAAAGACAGTTGCCAAATACACCTGGCAGCTGCTCAAGTTGAGCGTACGTATGGGAAACAGTCAACGGTGCGGTAAGTCCATACTTTCCTCAAACATGTTGCTGTCTTCACTTCAGACTGCATTACTAATTGTTTGTTAAATGGCAGCTGTGCAGCTCCGGCGTGTGTGGTGGGAGTGTGGGCCCTTGTTTGTGCTTTAAGTCCCCACAGCCTCACTGTACATATGTTTGGTAATTCCCACTCAAACTTTGTTATGCACTTATGGTTTTGTTAGTGAATCTTTTCACAGCCTCCTGTGTTTAAAACCAAAAAAAGAACAATCTGATGCTACTGTACGTGGCAATAAAGTGAGGTTTTTCCCTGTTGTTGCAGAGAGAAAAAATAAATAAATTTAACACCTCTGACAGAGTGTGAGGTCATCCTGCGTTTGTGCGTGAGTCTGTGAGAATCTGTAAGACTGAGAACACCACGGGCCAGTTTACAGTAAACCATCAGAAGCATCGGAGTCAGAATCAGTGCATGCAGCGAATGAGGAAAGTCAAAAATGTTGAGATTCTTTTTAAACTGCACACATTTAATTTTAATACCAAGTGTTTCATAACCCCCGAACACAAAGAAGAATTGCAGCTGTTTGAAAAGCTCCATCCGAACACGAGGATTTGTTTCTGATCTTGCAGCTATTTGTCAGACAGCCCTGACTCTCTGCTAAGTGCTACAGATCAAAGAAATCAGAAGGAAAGCGTCAGCAATGACTCAGATTAAAACTTCATTCGCTTTGCCTTTTCCTCTCCAGGCCAGCGCAACTCCATTCCAAAATATTCCAACAAGAAAAAGGCCCCTGCAGTCTCGAGATGTACGAGGCTGATCTCGAAACCAGCATCAAAGTGAATTCTGAAGCCCCGCGCTCTGAGTCACCAGAAAAGAAAAATACAAACAGAGTGCTACATCCACTTCAAAAAGCTGAAGTCAAACTGGGAGTCAGAGGTGTTGCTCTCGTGAGGGTTTGTGCGCAAACTCGACACACCTCACAGAGGCAAAAGCGAAAAAGGAAATCTCTCAGATGAATCCTCAGATTGCAATGAAAGCATGTGTCAACCGCCCACCCTTCCGCCCACCCACCCCTCCAGCACGCTGCCTCTGTGACAAATACAAATTAATTTCACAAGAATGAATAATCAGTTCGCTTGTCCATTTGCATTTCAAGCAACCGCAGCGAGTCCCCTGAGCGCGCTCAGAACGAATGATTATTAACTCGGCCCTCTTGAGAACACATAAAGTGTTGGGGAGGAGGGAAGGGGGGGCTAAATGTGCCTTTTAAGAGCTGGTTTTTACATGTGAAGTCTTAGTGGGCAGTGTCCCACGCACTGCTGAACAGGTGCTCAAAGTGAGTGAGTGGGCTGCCGTCCACGTGAAGGTCAAGCCAGGTTAGCTGGTCCCTGCACATGCACCGCTCACTTTGGTCTCCCCCGTTTCCTCCCCTCTGGCTGCTCCCTCTCTTTCCAGCTCTGATATCTCTTCTTTTTGCTTCTCTTGGGGGCTATGCAAAGAAGCCAGATAATCTTGGTGCATGCAGAGTGTTCTGCAGAGAGTGAGTGGCTGGATCACTAAAAGCGACAAAACCCCCCACCCTCCTAAAAAAATAAATAAAAATAAATCAGCTGGTGCGTAATGTGGCAGTTTGAGCCGAAATAAATTGAATGAATGAAGGCAGCGTACCTGGCTCGTGGTCCTGTGCAGGTTGGTGTCCCCCTCTGGCCGAGGCTACATGGCACTGGTGGGTTTGTGTCTGCACGTGTGTGTGCTGTGTGTGTGTATATATGTGTGTGTGTGTGTGATGGAGCAAAGAGAGAGAAGTGAGTGCTGTTGAGGAGATGGGGAGAGTGCACAGTGCAGTGTAGAAGATTGGAGGCTGGGTACTCAGTGTGTGCTAAGACAGAGCCTGTGCATCTCTCCCTCTCTCTCTCTCTCTGTGAGTATAATCCTTTCCACAGTCTACAGGGACGAGCTGCAAATGAACCAGCTCTAGCTCTCCCTCTCTCTCCCTCCACTTCCCTCTTGTTCTGTATCTCAGCTTTGCACATGAGCCCCGAGCAGAAATACCCTCCCCGTGCCTCCACCTTGCAGTAGATAAGCCAGAATTGCAGAGAGCAGTGCTGCCCTTAATGACTGCTACAACTCTATCTCCCCACTTGCTAAGGTTTTTAACGACGCCACCGCGCTCGTTTGTGTCGCAGTGACTCCGAGTGATTAGACCGTCTCTCCAGCTGTGCTATTTAGACATGCGTGTTTATTGTTTTTACGAGCACTTAGGACGCAGTAATACCTTCGGATGTCATTTCGGCGCTGACGCACTGATTTGAGTCGCGGCTTGTTTGTGAAGCGGCATCAACCGCATTTGAAGTTTTGTGTACCCGTTTCTGGCAGCACGTTGAGATACACTATGCAAATGTTGTGAGTGACTCAGACCGTCTTTTATCCCATCTGGAAAAGTCTGGCAGCGTATCAAGACAGGCTCCATGCTACGTGTTAGAGAGGGTACTGGCTACAGCGTTGGGTAATTATGTCTTGAGGTTAAACTTTCCAACTTTTTCATGTTGTCAGAGTTCAGTTTTCTAAAGTTAAAAGGGTCAACTCAACCAAATGTAGAAAGGTTTACTGGAAGCAAAGGCAGCTTCCCTTCATTCTCATTTTGAAAGTTCAGTTCATGCTAATCAGCTAGCCCGTTTCCCCGCTTCATATTTATCTGAGGAAATTATGGCATCTACCATCAGTTTGTTAGTGTGCAGTCCTATTTTGAATTGGTTTTGCACATTTTGAAGATTAAACATTCACATTTTTACCACAGTCATGTTGAATATTTTGAGCTAGAAGTTAAGTCTTATTTGGCTAACAAGCTAACAGCATTTAGCTTGGTCCAACAGCTTCATCCTGTAAATGTTATTGGTGCATTGCACAGATTTATCGCAAAGTAATAGCTACTAATAAAATATTAGAATTTCACTCAGAAAGAACTGAAGCTTGAAGTTCTTGGTGAACTGCACCACCTAGAAAATCATAACATTCGATAGTTAACCCATTGAAAAGAAGTCTTTATGTCAATCAACTTAGCAGAGGAGTGGCCTATCAGCCAAGGGCCCGTTACTCATTTCTGTAACACCCTCAAGTTAGAGGTTCTGACGGTCTGTCAGACCACCGCCTTAATTGTAGGTGGAGAAGGAAGTTACATGAGCTTATGATCACAGTAGATCAAAACAAGAACTGAAGTCAACAGCAGCTAAATTAAAAACATGGAGATCAAGTGACTGTGCTGATGGTGTTCTTTGGATCGTACATATTTCTCTTCCGGCTCAAGATGATGCCAGAGAGTTCGATTTTGGTTTCATCTGGCCACAGCACTTTCTCCCGAGCCTTCTCTGGATCATTTAACCTCCTAAGACCCGAACTCTTTCATGGCATGCATTTTTAATTTTCTTTGCTATTTGGGTTGCTTGGGACCTAAAGAATGTAATTTTTGTTTTTTGAGAAAAATGAGATCCACATATGAGGACATTTGTTTCAAATTTTGATAGAACAGTGGCAGTATAATGTCCTCGTAATGTAAAGTATTTTGGTCTAGACGTCCCAAAATGTGATGTCCACATATGTGGACGCCAGGTCCTAGGAGGTTAAAGGTGCCTTCTTGAGCGTGTGGATGTTGCAGGTGCTGCAAGATTTCCATTCATTACCAATGCTGTTCTTAGTGAGTGTGGTCACAGCTGTCTCCAGCCTCCATTAATCAAGCTCCTCCCGTGTACTTATGGGCTGATCCACCATTTTTTTTTCCATAATCTTTCTCACCCTATAAGGCGAGATCTTGCATGGAGCTCCAGACTGAGGATGACTGATGGTCACTTTTCAAATAATCGCAGCAGCAGTTATTACTGTCCCACCAAGCTTCTCTTGCTGATGGTCTTGTAGACCACTCCAGACTTGAGCAAGTCAACTATCTTGAGTAAGAGCTCAAGAGCCAGGATTCAAATACAGATTTCATTTAATGACATGCAAATAAATGTTTAAGTTTGTATAAGTGTATATTTTTGGTTGATTTTCTGTCTCTCTGCATTAAAAATAAACTACAGTAAAGATTAGAGACTGTTAATTTCTTTGTAAACGAGCATTAATTATTTTTTAATTATTTCCCCATCTGTATGTGGTATTATTTATATAATAAAGCATGAGTGCGTCTCCTTTCCTCTACACGTGTGCAACCTCTGCCTTGTTTCCACCACACAATCCAATTCTGTGTCATAAAATTTTATATTTTCTAGTTTTCTTACTCCTCTGTGATAACAAGCTGAATATATTTGACTTTGAGACTGCTGGAGGGGAAAAATAAGACATTTGAAGATCATTAATATCAGTTCCAACCCCGCATAGTACACTATGCAATTATATTTTACACCAACTGAGAGCAAGGCCTCATCACCCAAGAACAGTGTGGGATCTTACTAACGCTCCTGCAGCTGAACGAGGACCAATCCCTGCAGTGAAAATCCGATTTTAGAGCAGACAGATTTTATATTGAGCTGTATAACATAAAGTCATAAGACTTTTTTAAAGACACATTACTGTAGACAGTTAAAGGTTTTAATGAGCAAGAGAACTTGATACTGATGTTACCATTGTGATTTTTTAAAGATAAGTAGTAAAATGCCACAATTGGGTTATAAACGAAGTACACCGCAGTTAAATAGATTTAATATTGCCACCGTGTTCCTGAGGTTTTGGGAAAATCTTCAAAACTAAGAATTCCAAAGTGAATTTCCTAACTAATGCTTGAAAAGGAACACTTATGTAGTCCCACCCAGGGCTGGACTGGTAATCTGACTTTGGGCTAATGGACTGTCTTGAAGGGCCTCTGCACCAAACAGTGACAGCAGTCCATTTGTTCATTTGCATTGTTAACACTGGAATACCCAATCATATCTCTTAATGCGACTGGACCCTCCCCTACCTTCGCTGTGCGCTCGTGCACCGTGAAGAAAAAGTTAAGCGTGGAAGAAGTGACCAAAAGGTAGAGCTGAAAAGCTGAGAGAAAACAACATAAAGAAACTAAAAATAAATGCAGCAGTTCTGAAGATGTGAGGAAGAGACGGAGGAAAATGAAATTAACAAAATAGCAAAATAGAAAATAGATGGAGGGACACAATTAGCAAGATTCAAGGTTTCAGGTAAAATGAACGGCACTGCTAACAGCTAAAGTGTATTGTCAGCTTATTACTGCAACTAAGGACAACAACCGTACCAACTTGATTAAAACATGTTTCAACATCTTTAACGATACAAAAGCTTTAATGTTCATTTGTGAATGGCAGAGCGAACTGGACTTTCCTGAGCCCATGCAATGATTTCCATGTCAGAATCATGTCTGTTTTTAAAGCAGCCATAAAGATCACGAGCATCCAAAAACTATTTTCTGCATTGTCCCGTGCACACAGAAATGTCTCTAGATTCTTTGAATCTTTTGATTATGTAGATGATGAGATATTCATAATTATATGTTGAAGAATTTTTTCCAAAATTGTTCCACAATTTGTAGATGCAGGTTTTTGTAGATTTGTGAATATCTGACCTTCCTTGCCTCTGAGAAACCCGGGCTCTCTAAGAAACTCTTTTTTTATACCCAATCATGCCCGAGGGTTATACTATGATCCAAGTTCATCATGACTGTCTTTGCGTTGTTGGCTTGAAAAAACCTAAAACCCCAGTTAAAGCTAACTGTTATCCTGACTGTGATTATCAACTTTCCCTGTTAAGCTGGGCTCTCTGCTTCAGGCTCTGTTTGAGCTCACATAAAAACGGCTGCTTTGGAGGTATTATTTCTCACAAAATGATCCCTATGAGCGCCACCATCAGAGATGCTATCAGATGATAAAACGGTGATTAAAGGTCTATAACGAAGCTAAAAAATCAAATAGTAAAATGCAACACTGTTGCAAATAAGACAAGAAATTAATGCTGCAGAAAATCGTTTATCACACATAGCGGTAAAATAAACGTTTTCATTCCAGTTAATTATTTTAGCACCGAGTGAGCCCTCGGTGCTGCTGTTTATTTCCAAGGTGAGCACCGCACATTAGGGCTCTCAAACTTTACACTGGACCCATTTAAACATTAAAGGTTAAAGTCTCACAGCCAAATAAAGAGATGTGGAAAGTATTTTAGTTGTTGGCAAATCAAAGTGAAATTAATTAAATTGATTGAACAGGTATTTATGGTGTGTGCTGTGTACTGGGAGCTGCATTTCCAGCAGTGTTAAAGAGACTCGGCAGCAGATTAGAATCAAGTGTAAGACATTTTCTGCATCACTAAATTAATACACGCACGGTTTCTGCCTCGTTCACTGGTTTTAGTACAGCTTAACTTGCCCATATAAAACATATTTCCCCAGCAGTGAATCTACACTTACAACACGCTGTGAATAAATGGACCAGTGAAAATGTGGCACTTCCAGCTGAGTTTAAACCGAAACTCGGAAAATATACTGCTCCCGACCAGGTTATGTGTTCGGCATAAGTTTCCATGGTGATTAAGGTAAAAAGAAAGCCACTTTTGTGACACAAAAAGCTCAGACTTTAAGCTCGACACAGCTCGCTCACCCTCAAATCTTACTTCGTAGTACATCCCTATGATCCTACTTTGTAGTACCATTTTCCAGTCTCTTATTGGCCCATGTTGCTGCCATCAAATTCAAACTGAGTTAATATAGTTCATAAAATATTAAAATGTCTCAGTTTAAACATTTGTTTTCTGTGTTCTGTGTTGAATAAAATATGAGCGTATGAGATTTGCAAATCATTGCATTTCGTTTACATTTACACAGCATCCCAACTTTTATGGATATCTGGGCTGTAGGCCAATATTGCAGTTGTTCCACTGGCCTGGTCCACTAACATGCGTGGCCCATGAAGTAAAATGAGTTTGATCCTGTTAATTCTCAGGACTGAAAGCCCGTTTTAGATGGCTCTCTTCAAGCTCTTGGGCATTTTATACCGGAAATCACTGCGTGGGTTCAGGAACTCTTGAACATAACAGCGTTGCAGCTGCATATATATTGATGACAAAAAAATAAGTAAAAGCAGAATAGGCCTTCTTTAAGCTGCTCAGGTATTTTTACACTAAATCCAGCTGTCGTGCCAGGTGGAACGAGTCAAAGACATCTTCTCTTCACTGGCTGCAGATGTACTGCATGCTGCCTATTTATGTCAGTCACTTCCACTGCTATTCACTGCTGCAAGAGCAATCAGCAGCATAGAGAGCAAATTGGTCATGATGTTAAGATATGCCTTTTTCCTCTAGCTGGGCTTTCAGTTTGTCAGAGCTACATCCATCTGTATGTGTCTGTGTTTCTTTGCATGTTTAGACCAATTTCCTCTTCCTTCATGCCCACTCAAACGCTCCCGATTCCTAATTTAGCCCCAGAGTTTCTCCCCACCCACCCCCACACTCTCAGCCTACTCTGTGTGTATCCATGATGCCACAGAGATCCAACATGTCAAACCACTCGCTTCGCCGGGATGGCTTCAGGATGGAAACTGGAGCCCGGCGGATTATGAGTACGTCAAATTGGCAGAATGTATTAGCGTCACGCCGATCACCATCACGTTTACCCTCACTGGTCAATTATCAAGATAGATAGCTCAAACAGATAATAGCCTGCAACGGCGCCTGCACCCATTTTCTGCTTAGTGGACAGTGGGGGATGAAGTGGGATGGTGAGGGGAAGGGAGAGGAAGGACAGTAAACCCTGGTGTTGTTGTGATTGGAAGGAAATGTTACTTTCAGCAGAGCTAAAATCAGATCGGGCAGACATGGATAGAAGAAGGGGAGAGGCAAAAAAAGAAGAGGACCTATGGTGCTGCATGCTGCATTTGGATGCAGGCTGGGGGCCCGGGTGGCAGAAATATGGAGGGAGAGGCACACTTGTCATCCCAATGAAATCATTCTCCAAGGCTGCTGAGGAAAGCGAGGGCTGCACAGAAAAAGATGAGATCCTGTGAGTGTGTGTGTGTGTGTGTGCGTTTTGGAGGAGAGGGGTTGCAGCTGTGTTTATGTGCAAGACATGTAGCGAGACAAGTGGAAGAGACCGAGAAAATACAACCGAGAAACTGTTTGCTGATTACATCGCGGAGGCTTATAGGCATGCTTCCCCTCACACTTCTCTGTGTTTGAAGATCCAAATCTTAAATCAGCTCCCACACATGAACAAACAACATGAAATTCAGCAACAAACATCCAGCCCAGTGATCCAAAAACAAAAAGAAAATCTGCTGTTCAGTACAGTGAAAGTTGCACTCGACTAGTTTCAGTGCAGAAGTGAAAGGGAAACAATTGCCTTAGATGTGATAATATTACACAACAATAAATGCATATGTAATAAAGTTCAAAAGGCTGTTGTCCATAAAACAGACGATGATATGCAACGGTGGACGTTTTCGAC